ATCAAGTGTTTCAATAGGTCTTGTGCATAAAACCATCACCTCTAGAGTTGGTGCTAGCTAAACAATTCCAGCTTCTGTAGTGCTGTTTTCTGTTAATGGATGATAAAAAGTTGTTTCTCCCATCCTCCCAGTGTTTGCTTTTAAGTTTTCTTTGCTAGAAAATCCTGGAGCTCTGGCATGCCTGAGATCCATAAAATTCTAGCCTCCGTTGCTGCTGAAATGGTGGGCATAGATGGCACACCATACTACAGAAAAGGATTAACTAAGATGGAACACACTACGGAAGGATGCAGTGGACTGCAGATGCTGGTAGATGCATTCACTGCTGTTTTTGTGCTTGAAGCTGTATAGTTATTGACTGTTAGCTGGAATAAAACCAAGAACATTGCTGCTGCTACGTCAGTCAGTTTTTCGTTCCCCCCCGCCACACCATTGGGATGTAACACTGAGATCATCCCTTAAAGCAAAATCAAAAAAGGAGGACGCTACTTGGTTAGTTCATCTACCCATATTTTGACCCCTAGTGCTAAAATTCCTTTGTTTTCTGGGTATTAACTCCTAATATTAATTGAGTGAATCTGTGCAAACTGCATCTAGTTGTGTATGAGAGACTGAAAATAATGGATAATTAGGAAAACAAAGACAGGAAGAGAGGAAGTATGTAATGTGACACAGGACATACTGAAATAGCTTTTGAAAGATGGTGAGATGAATCAGCCATAATTTAATAGTGATGGAAAGAATGTACTTGCCTGACTGGCAATTAGTAGCTCTGGGGGCAGCGTGTATTTTGTGTGCTGCTCTTGGTGCAGTTGATTTCAAAAAGTTAGGCTTGGATTTCAGATAAATTTGTTCCTGCTGGTCCTGTAGGTGTTTGGGCTCTGCTTTGGAGGAGTGCTTGAACAATATTGTTAGTTAAATGCATTACCCTTACCTGGTCTTTGGATGTTTTGCTGCTGAGTCCAATCATAGGCGAAAAGAACTGTTTGATAATAACTGGTTATTGGTAGTCTGTAGAAATATATTCTCCTTAACCTCAGTATTTCAAGATGGTACCAAAGTTAAGAGTCTTGGAATTGCATTTTAAGAATGCCTTTTTGAAGAAAAGGCCTTGTGCAGACATGGTAGTTATGTAATATGTGCTTTCCCTTTTTCCTGTGTACCATGACTAGCATATACCCTTGTTGCCACAAGGTTTCAGTGTTTCTTCAAAAGAGTAGCTTCACCACTAGGATCTTGGTTAGAATGCAGCAGCAATATTGCTCACTGGGGGGGGGCCTTGTAGTCAACAGTTTTATAGTAATTGAGTTTGTTGATTAATTAGAACTGAGATTTTTTTTCTAATTTTGAAAGTTACGCTTTTAGTCCTTATGACTGAGCAGCTACCAAGAATGAGCTGAATATAAACCATATTACTGGGTCTTCCTAATTGTAATGTGAGTGTTCCCATTCACCTATTTGGATTGACTGAAGTTTTCTGATAGAAATTAAAGTAAAAATCAGTTGTTTCCTATTTGAATAATACTTGGCTAATCGTTTGTGCCAAAAATAAAAGCTTAATATACTAATCCCAAACTCTCTCCTGTATTTTTTAGTGTAAAAAATGTCCAGCTTCCTTACAATAGCTAGCAGGCTCAGCTTCTACAATGCAGTTATAAATTGTTAGTATGAAAACCTCAAGCATGCTGGGAGTTAAGAAGTAGAGTAAAACTGAATTTTAATATCAAAATAGCACCAAGGATCATGATCCAAGTGGGAATGTGAAAACCTGTCTGTCACTCACTTGGTGCTTCTGCAGAATTTTCATTCTGGCACAAAGCAGGCTGGCATGTAGACAAACTTGAGTCCAGAATACATAGGGCTTTGCTTACTGGCTAAAGCATTAAAGCTGTAAATATTGCAATGTAAATGCTCACTGGAGTTTTCCTTTAGGCCTAAAGTGTTCTCGTTCCCTGGTGAGATTCCCTTTCAAAGGACTGACTTATTTCTGTAGCAGAAATGCGTTCACAGGAATGGCTTGTTTTTCCAGAAGAGTCTTTGGCAACCGATCATACTGCTCCTTCTGCTGTACCTCCTGAAGGTGTTTGGCTTTTACCAAGTAAGGATGCAGACTGATAAAGGAACCTGCTGTAGGTGAGGTCCAAGGGGTTTTCACCTGCCTCTTCATTGTCAACTCTCACTTCCCTGTGGTTGCAGTCTGCTTTTGTTTGCCATTAGTTTCTGCTCATTGTACTTCCATTCTTGCTACCAGGATCAGAAACTCATACTAGCCCTTCCTCCTGAGTGCAGCTCCTTGCCTGAAACTCAGCATTCCAAAGGTAGGTCCTAGGTTTATGTAGCATCATAATGTCCTACCCTCTGAGAATGTGGGGTAATTTTGGACTTGCTACAGACTTGATGGATGCAAGCATTATTGTGCATACCTAGAGTCCCATTGAGCTGGATTTCATTGAGCTAGTCTGAGTCAGTTATAAAGAGACTTGCAAAAATCAAGGTTCCCTCTGTTAAATTATATAATCTAATCCTAAAATTAATTGTAGGATGATGTATCAAAAGATATTGGCATCTAGGATGGCCTCTGGTGGGCAAAGATGCTGTAAGTGGCTACTTTGGTGCTGTCTTAGGAAAGAAAGTAGTGTGCATGCTTCAGCTCTGAGTGCTGGGGGTGGGCTGTAAGAGCACAGGTCTGCATCTAGTCTCCTGTGGCACTGTACTTGTAGTGAATGTTCAGGGCTGCAGAAGGGATTTCTTTTAAATCTACTTTTTGTGAAATCCTACTGCATATCCGACACTGAGCTACAACTTTGTCCAAGGGAACTTAGCAGGGAGAGCAAGCAAGTTTTAAAGGAGGGGCTCCACACACACACACACACACACACACACACACACACGCTCTCTCTCTCTCTCTCTCTCTCTGTGTGGGAATCAGAGCTATAAGAACTCACTCAGATTGTGCCTGTGTGTGCACCACACTTTGTCCTTTCCTTTTCAACAACCTGCCTTATCTTATGTGCTTGGTAGGGGTGATAAACCAGAAGAAAGGATCTTGACAGGAAGGGAAAGACTGGGAAATTAAATCTGGGGAAATCCTAGTGAAACATTCTTCCTGCCCAAAAGAGCAAGTTTAAATTTTTTGAAATAGTTTGGAAAGACAAACTTGAGACAGTTTAAAGGACTGGATTTTAGAAAGGCAGACTCATTCACCTTCTGAAAATTAAGCCCGTGAGGCCACCTGCCTTAGTTTGACATAAAAAATAAGAATAGATGCAGCCTTTGTTCGGGTTCAGCTCTTGATCATCTGCCAAGCTAAATTATTACAAATAAAATCACAAGCACTAGGGAGTATGGTTAGAGTGTTTATTCTGATTTCTTGTCCCTACCAGTCTTAGTACACACATAGGAGGCAGAGTTATACAGTCCCAAACCTTTATTCTTCAAGAGCTGCAAAGAGACAAACAGGCAAATGTTCCCTCTCACTTGAAAATTAGTGCACACTACCTCATTGTTTGTTTGGAGGAAAAGATGTAACATGTCTCAAGGAATCTCAGAAGAGATTGAAATAATAGCATGTTAAAAGTGCTAGTTGAGAGGATGGGAAAGTAGAAATGAGGCCACAGTATGTCATGTCGCCATTGATTTTAAGCTGTAGCCCACTGGGGGGTCAGCTAGTGTCTCTTAGTTCAGAGGCCTTAGGTTTTCATTTAACTAGGGATTGTTTAGGCTTCTTATTTTTTCTAGCCCAAGCTCCTCCAGTTCCACCTACTTTATCTTTTACCTTGAGTGGTTGTATTCTTCGTTAGCTGAGGGGGGTGGGGTGGTATTTCTCTGACCCCTTTCTTTATGAAGCATCATCTGTAGGAATGTAGTAAGCTTAAATTTGTTACTTTCTGGAAGTAGCACAAGGGGTAAAAGCTTTAAAAAAAAAAAAAAAAAAGAAAAGAAAAAAAAGGGGGGGGCGAAGACAGCCAGTTAGTTCAGTGCTTTTCATACCCTTAAGACATGACATTTCAAGCAAAGCACACCGTGTGGCCCTGTGTGCATGTAGTAGATTCTCATGCTACTTATTTGCCTCACTGAATATCACGGTTTTTGGAAACATTGTGTTGGGTGATGAGTTAATAAGGGACAGCTGCCAATCTAAACAGCCCATGAAGTACTTGGGGTACATGGATTTTGTTGAGTTGTTCACTTGGAAATGTTTGGGACTCTTGGGATTTTTTGTTGGCTGCTAAAAAGGTCCCATTAGAAGATATCTGACAAGCCCAGGAGGTAGTGTGGTGTCAACATGCACTGTCTTTGCAATCTGGCAGATTTCATACCACAAGATTATAGAAATATGCTGTGGTCTTTCAATCTGTCAATTTTAATGTTATCACCTTCTAATTGCAAGATGAGGAATAAACTTTATTGTGCACAGAGTTTTCCTCTCATGAGGTTGTGGACTTGAAGTCCTTGGAGTTGCACAGAAGGGCCTCTCTCTCCCCCCCACTCCCTCTTCTGTCCCTTGGACATATGTTACCAACTCTGTTCTAAAGACTTAAAAACACTTTACCTTTTTCACCTAATCACTTAACAGAAAATATCTCTAGATTCCCCAGATGTCCAGAGTTGAATAATAGAGCAAACCATCTTGAGGTTTGTTCTCTGTACCTCTTTCCTTCACCATCAACCTAAAGAATAATTATTTTGTGCCATAGGTAAAATTAAGAGAAGGATTGGAAGGTTGCAGTTCAAAAGCCAAAATGAAGACTGTACTGTTTTAACTGTGGTCATGAAGTCTCAAACCAGGACTGTCTGCTCCTTTCTGACCTATTTATTCTAGTTCTAATAAAGGAAATTGTTTGTGTGGAACACTTGATATTTGAATCTAAACCAGTTGGTTTGGGGAAGGAGGAGCTCAATCATGAAAACTGAAGTAATGCAAGTTTTGTGGGATTTTATTGCCACTTGTTAAATGTTTAGGCAAAACATTCCCGTCAATCTCGAGGGAGAAATGAAAGATGTGGGTAGGGTTGTCCATTGTGGAGGAGCTCAGGAAACTAACATTTTCTGTTTTTTATAGGCCAGAAGATGACCTTCTCACCATAGCTTTTAGCTTTTTAGATAGTTTCCTATGATGAATACACTTTCTTTCTTGATCACATTCTTTCCCATTTCAGGTCAGCCAGAACAACATTACCATGATGTCATCCCCTTCACCTGTCCAGCAAGCTCAGACACCTCAGTCAATGCCACCACCTCCTCAGCCACAACCATCTCCACAGCCAGGGCAGCCAACTTCCCAGCCAAATTCAAATGTCAGGTGCGTCAGAACATGAACTCAGATTTTAGTGGTGGCTGGAGGCATTCTTGCCAGATTGTCATGGATATGAAGGGAAGTTGAAACAAAATCATCTCTAAGCTTTAATCTTGATTACTTCTAGTAGGGCTTAAGGGAGTTGAACTTTAGCAGTGTCCTCAGGGCTGAAGAAGGGCTGGGGAACCTTCTTCAGTAGTATATTTGGACAGTCATCTCAAGGAACCTGAAGAAGTCTTGCTCTTATTTTTGTTCTCTCTGCATTTACCTTCTGTGACTACTCTGATGGAGCTATACAATAAAAACTCTGTTATCTGGCATCCCCTGGGAATGGGGGATGCCGGATAACAAAATATGCTGGTTAATTGAGTGGCCGCTCCTGCTGCATCCCTCCGCCCCTCCTGCTGCATCCCTCCGCCCCTCCTGTGGGCCCTGTGGGCCCCATGGGACAGGGAGGCGGGCCCCATACAGCCTGTTATGCCCCCGGGTCGCGGGGGCTCGGCAGTGCAAGCTGCTTTGCCCTGGGCCATGGGGGGCTCAAGAAACTGGAAGTGCCACGGTGGGCACTTCCAGTTTCAATTTTCCTTACAGGTCGGCATGCCAGTTAACAGAGCACGCCAGCTTGTAAGGTGCCGGTTACCAGAGAGTCTACTGTATATAGATAACTTCTCCTTTTTAAATCCAAGGTTTCTGCTTAGCCAAAGAGAAGGGTACTAGCATGTTCCTTGGGTTGGAGGAGATCATAACAATAAGTAGAGACCCTTTTATAAATTTCAGTTGTCAAGGAGCTGTGAGTCTGCTACTCAAAAGTAAGAAAATGAATTGAGCTGGATGCTGTAATCCAGGGATGTCAAACTTACAGGGTACTATCAAGCCACTGGAAGTTGGGGGTCTGGCCTACTGTAGAATCTGGGGGCTTCAGGCCTTGGTGGACATGGCAGTCATTGGCAGGAGGGCAATAAAGGGCTGATATATCCTTGGTTGTCTTCTGGCTGCCTTGCCTGTGACCACTGCTGTTGCCTCAGCTCCTCAATTGCTGGGCCCTTGTTGTCCCATGCTGGAGCCATGGTTGCATGTCCCATGTCAGAGCTAGAGCTGCTGCCATGGCATGGGCATGCAGTTGTAGTGGCAGCTTTAGCTCTGGCACAGGTGGGAGCTAGAGTTGCTCTGGGTGCCCCAAGGTGAAGCTGGAGCTGCTGTTGCATGCCCCAGGCTGGATCAGGCCTGCAAGGAGCTAGCCAGTGGGGTTTTCAGAATTCTGTAGCAGTGATCAGTAAAACGCACATGCTCACAGGTTAGCCATATTCTCTGCTAGCTTCATACAAGCTGTTTTGTGTGCTTATTAAAGGTTGAATTGATTTCCTCCTCCCTTCCCCATTTTTCAGCTCTGGCCCTGCCCCATCTCCCAGCAGCTTCCTTCCCAGTCCCTCTCCACAACCCTCTCAGAGCCCAGCAGCTGCACGAACTCCACAGAATTTCAGTGTCCCGTCACCAGGCCCTTTGAACACTCCAGGTAATTTGGGGGATGTTGACAAGAATTGTACTGCAGACCACACTCCAGGATTGTATAGTTAATAACTGTGACAAGCACAAGGAAACTTGTGCTTTCATGATGTGTTCTCTGCTCTAAGCAGCTTTGCCGAGTGAGCAGTATTTTAGTGGTGCACTGGGCATGCACCAAGACTAATATTTTAGTCTCTCACTTGGTTTGGCATTGTCTCCCATATGATTTTTTGTCATTGAATTATCTGAAGAGTTGAGAAATGGGTGGCACCTATTTGATAAGTGGCTCTTGAGTTTCTTGCAGATTAAAATCTTTAGCAATGACTCTTAGCTATTATAATATAGTTGCATTACAAGCAGCAGAGTCCTCTTGGACTTAATGGAAACTACACAGAACTTGGAGTTGGGATCACATTGAATCTGGTGTAACACTATTACATGATAGTGTCTGTAAAATGAAATGTACAGTAGTCTTCTTCCTACTAGTAACGAGACTGGCGTATTTACACCTCTTCAGGTCATGTAAAAGAAAGGTTCTGCATCATATACGAATTTACTTGCTGAATGGAAACAGCATGTTGAAAGTTGGATAAACATGAGTAAGTCTTAGGAATATCCAGTAGTCTGTTTGGATATTTGCTAACTGATCAGAGGCCCGCACTAGCAAAGCAAATGAATAGGGCTAAGGGTCTGGATTATGAAGGCTGAGAACTATGCCTATTTTTCCGTGTCCTCTCTGACATGGTAATGTTTAATCTTTTCTTTTTGCTTGTACAGGAAATCCAAATTCAGTCATGAGTCCTGCCAGCTCCAACCAGTCTGAGGAGCAGCAATACCTGGACAAACTCAAACAGCTGTCAAAGTATATTGAGCCACTCCGGAGGATGATCAATAAGATTGATAAAAATGAAGGTGTGGCCTCTTGTGATTTGCCATGCAGATATCCCATTCTGTCAGTAGTACATAGAAGAGAAAATGGTGCACTTCTGTTATGATCAATTTTGGGGAGGACCAGGCCTATTTCAATAGCACAAGTTGAAACAGATATCACTTTCTCATAGTTGCAGTTTAAACTGTGAAGCATGACAACTTTTCATCATCAAATTCCCTTTCCTTCTGTTTTTCTTTACTGTATCTAATCTCTCCTTCGCAGGCTGTCTGATAAACGTTTTATGAGAAGAATGTTTATAAAGAGATGGAGAATCTCAGATCTTTGATGTTGTGTTTTCATTTTCCCAGCCTCCCTTAATTTTTTGTTAATGTCTGCATAGCTGGATGCTGTTTCTGCAGAAAATGCATTACTCACTAGTCGCTTTGATATTCTTTCAGATAGGAAAAAGGATCTGAGTAAAATGAAGAGCCTCTTGGATATCCTGACTGATCCTTCAAAAAGGTAACTTCTATTCCTATTTGGCTGTTAGTGTCTCTGCAAATCAACTGAATTTTTTCAAAACCCAAGATCAGGAGTATGCTAGAGCAGTGATTCTCACCTACAGTGCCACAGCTTGAGATCTTTTCAAGTGTGCTGCAGGGTGCCGTGCAATGTTTAGCACTGTTAGATGTACAGATACTATTCACAGAAATTTCAAATAGGAATCCATAATGATACAAAATATTCTGACCCTACTGTGGTCTCTGAGTTCTTTGCAACAGAAAAATCAAACTTTTTTTCTGTAGTCAAAAAAACAAGTAAAAAGTAAGAGTTGGCATTTTCCGAGGAGTTACTTGAGTCTAACAAGGTTGAGAACCACTGCGCTAGAGGAAGCTGAGAATGCAGGGTCTACCAGTGGGTTTCTGACTTAACTGGTGGAATAGTGTCTTGTGGATGCCTTTAGTCAGTCTTCTTACAGCAACATAGTATATCCATAGAGCAGCATTAAGCTTGGAATCCCTTGTCTCTGTTTTGATTTTCCTTGTTTCTGCTAAAATCATTATTATTTTATAGCTCTGATTTATTTGTATGGTGAAAGTCATAGAGGGTAAGAAGTATGAGAACTCCCCACCAATGGTTTCTTTATGAATGTACTATTTTATGTACTCCCAGCTTTTGTCTTGGAAGAAAGCTATACACGGCTTTGTGAAAAGTACTGCCAAAAATGTTTGTCTAAGGACCCAGCATTGGAACTTCCATACAT